ACATAGATCTCTGATAGCACAATTGCAGTTACATATTTCACTCTCAATGCACCTATCTGCTTCTTTTGTTTTTTTTTTCAGCCCACTCTCCAATCCTTATATTTCTTCTCCCTTATAACTTATAAGTCTCCATGTGCCTCATTGCAAAAACTCCAGAGTCATGCACACTTTTCTTCTCTTACCATGCCATGTTCAATGGTCTTGGCTTTAGCTATGCAATCATCTCTACCTTTGCTTGAAGGCCTAGGGCTCTCATTTTGTGAACAAAATACCACTGTTGCACATTTATACACAAAATCAGCAATTTCATAATATACATTCATTGGCATTTCACACAAATTTTCATTCTTACAAAAATTTATAAACAGTCTCCATACTTATCCGCCATACTTCCCTTTGCCACTACATAGTCTAGAATGTCAAAATACTAGCATGCCTTTCATAAGACTTGTTTCAATTATTGAAACACACAAAACAACTATTTGCATATATCTTTGCTATTATTATTCCCTTTAATGCACCTTATTGTATTCTACCGACTCTTTAAGTATTTAAATCATACAATATTATTTACACAATATGCACATTTTAACAATCCACTTACGTACTTATTCGCATACATGTTAATAAAACAACTAATAATGTAACTACCACTCAGGTTAAAACTAGATGCATTCTCCCTCTCTGTATTTCAATGGTCCTACTGAATATGCATCATTTATGGTCAAAATAGTAATACACATAATTTTATCTACTACACTCCTCTACATGCCTATGTGCTAATTTACATTCCTATGCATCACTTTTGTTTGATTCTATTACACCCTAAATCTATTGCAGTTTAGAATACACATTCACGTTTTATGCAACCCCATTACAACTCAATCCCAATTTTTATCAACTCAATTATTGTACATCTCATTTTTCCTCCCACACACAACAAACTTTTGTAAAGTCAAATGTTGTAGCTGCACATTTTCTTTTTCAACAAAACGGGACAAAAGTCACAATGACAAGGAACATAACATTTGGTGTCCATATTGTTAGAACCGGTAAATTTCCAACACATATTTTTCTACTCCGTTCAAAATCTTTAACTGCAAAACTCAAATAACGACAATTTCAACAATCGCACATCAATTTTATTATATTATCATTCTACTTTCGAAGTTTTATAGCGTCTATCATACAAATTTCATGTTTTACAGAAATGTATATCACTTTTTTTGCTTACCTTTTGCTGCGATAACCTTTTTTCGGCCACTTTCTCTGCAATTCCAAACTATCAGCAAATTCTCTGAATTGCTTTATGTTAGTCCATGTTTCTGTAACAGCAATGAATAACGATCTAACAATGAAGATTAAACGTAAGGATGAACACAGAATGAATCAACGTAAAACCCTCTTTGATAAACCGTGAACTCGTACAACACAAAAGTATGCGCGTAAGGCTATGAAGAATAAGTATGACGTTAACATATTCCTAAACCCTCGGCTCCCTTTTTATAGGCGAGGTTTAGGTTAGGCGTACAAGGCTTTTAGCCTGTTTATATGGGCCTAACACTTGGCCCGATTGCTATCAAATTCATGCACTAATTAAATACAAGGATTAAATATAAAGCTAATCTATGACAAACTTGATTCACAATTAAATATCTCCAACACTTTACTGCTCTCTTCGTCTGCTTTCTCTGCAATTTCGAACTATCACCAAAAGTGAAAGGTTTTTCATAAAGGGAAATGGCAGAAATCTGGGGAAGATGGATATCGTGCAGCGAAATTAACTGTAATGAAAGCTTCTTAATTTCCAAAAAAGCCCTTGATATGTCTCCAAGCGTGTTTGAAGTCCGATAAGAACGTATTCGATGTTTGCTTCCTCACTTTAATCACGGTGGAACTCATAATCCCAGCCCTTATTTTTTGGTTTTGCACGGCTTGGATGTCTTCTTATTTTGCACCTGGAAGCCTCTTTGTATTGGAATCCATCCATACATACATACATACATACAAACATACATACATACATACATACATACATACATGCATATATATATATATATATATATATATATATATATATATATATATATATATATATATATATATATATATATTTAGGTTCATGTGAGAATATAATCTTAGAAGAGAAAAAAAGAATGAATGAGAGCCCTTAGATTTAACTAGCATTTAAATCATTAAAATAGTTCGTATAAGGCTACACCACAAGTCATTTTGACTACTTTCCTTCCTAGAATTGTTGTGGCATTTATGCGACTTCCCTATCGTATTTAAGCTAAGAAATTATTTCTGTAACTATTACTACTTATTATATTACTAGTTTTATACCCGTGCGATGCACGGGAGAATATATTTTTCAAATGACAAAGTAAGTTTTTGAATCATATGAACAATACATGTAGTTTAATATTTTCCAACATCTAAATTAGATTGTGGTAGTGTAATTGTTTAGGTTAAGTCCTCATGGTTCAAAGGATGAATACAGTGCTTTGGCCCAGGCTTTCGTATGATCCTTTATCGTTTAGAATATTTTTGGTGTTTGATTAAGCAGTGTGAACATAAAAGTGAATAGCAAGAAGAATAAGAAGCAAAGTAGACCAAGTTTTCTATTATGGACTTATAACGATTACAGTGCATCCTTCTCGAGCCAATCTCAAAGGAGATGGTGTCAAACATATATATTCTAGGTATTAACATCTTTTCACCTACACTTAATTCCGTCAAAACTTTTGCTTGAGATATATTTTCTCTCTAAAATTTGTTGTTGTATTGTCTAGATTAAATAATGGAATAGTAGACAGTACGTTGAGTTTATAATATTAAAAAATGAAAGTTGTATATATCACTTAAAGGTGTTTCTAACAAGGAAGGTGAGCCCAATATTTTCTTATTCCTTTTTAGTATTGGTTTGCTGTTTTTCTCTGAAATTGATTTAAAATTTTTAATATGTTTTTTGTGCTTAAATTTCTTAAACATATAAAAATAATCTAACATAGTTGTGTGTTTGTGTGTGTCATAATACATGTCAAATATTCACAAAATTATATTCTTAAACATTCATTTAGGAGACATGGCTCATATTTTGAGAAGTTCTATTGCAAGAAATAGTTCTCATCAATTTAACATTGCTTTGAAACCCCATTTCAAAAATTGTATAATTCATTATCCTTATCCTTATCTAAAATCATGCTCCCTCTCTCATAGCATTTTTCTCATTTTGATTTGACACGCTGGTTAAGAAAGTGAGAATAAAGAAGACATGTATTATTGTGGTTGATTAATAAAAAAGTAAATGAATGATAGTCACACACACAGAGCCTGTTTGGTGACCATATTTTTTCGTTTATCGGACTTATCTGTGAACTTTTTCACCAAACACTTAAATTTCAATAAAATATAATTTTTTTAATTGTAGATGATCATTTTATTTTTTTTCATATATTTTTTTCTTTGTTTTTTAATAAAATATATTTTAATTTTTTTTTCCAGAAATCAGCAAAACAAACCAATCCAACCACTTCAGCCATAATTTCGTAAATTTCAGCAGAATCAGCCAATACAACCGATTTGACTACTCCCTCCGTCCCATTTAAATCTTTACATTTTCTTTTGTGGACGGCCGATTTAAATCTTTACGTTTCCTTTTTAAGCAACTTCTTTTTTATTAAGTGTCCTAACTACCCTTCACTACTTACCCACTTTTTACATTGGAGGAGATAATATTAATTCACCCGAAAAGTCAAAGAGCATGAAAGACATTTGTTCTTCTATTAATTGGGCTCCTAAAACACCGAGCCAAAAGCAAACGTGAAGATTCAACCTGGACTAAGGGAGTATTACTCAACAGGCTCAAACTTTTTTAAAGAGATGAATTTTTTACGATATTCCAAAATAGTAAGTAAGAAGAATTTTATGACGCAAAAAGAGTATCTATCATTGTATATTACTCTGTATATCATAGAAACAATCACTTATTAACATTAATTCAAAATCATGCATTTTATAATATTATTTTTGTTGACCAATTAATGTTTTTTTAAATTATTGTTCATATGAATAATAATACATTACTTTAAATTACTCTGATTTCATGAAAACTTACTTCAATTCCTACCTATATTATACAGAATACATGCTTTCCAACTATTGTTAGTAGTTGTTGAACGAGAACAAAATACATAAAAAATGCCACATCCCAAAGCCCAAAGCCTAAAGCCCATTGTATAAAGTACTACTCCAAACCTAAACTCCTTTTCGAAGAATTGGCAGTAGCGTCCTTAGCCAAAAAACACCGCCTCTTATCTCTCACACCTCACCTTTGCATCTGTGTGGTGTAATCGTCTCACCCCCTTGACCTCTCAGAGTATCCTAAAAAATAGCTACTAACTGTTCTTGAGTCCAATTTCTTTTCATTTGGCCTATAAGGCCTTGCCTCAGCTGGACAACCCCAAACATGGAAATGATTTATACAGAGTTTCTTTCCAGTCCAAATTTCATAAGGGGTTTTAGTTGTAGCTTTAGTGGGAGCTCTGATAAGTATGCAAGCTGCAGTTTTCAGTGTCTCTCCCCAGAGGGAATCTGGTAAAGTAGTATGACAAATCATACTCCTAACCATGTCCTTCAATGTACGGTTTCGTCTCTCAGCAACACCATTCATGCTAGGAGTTCCTGACATGGTGTATTGAGGAACAATTCCACACTCCTCTAGGAATTTAGCAAAGGGCCCTGGACGTTGTTCACCGGAACCATCATATCTACCATAGTATTCACCACCACGGTCAGATCTAACGGTTTTTATTCTTTTGTCTAATTGATTTTCAACTTCGGCCTTATAAGATTTGAACACGTCTATTGATTGGGACTTTTCATGAATGAGATAAAGGTAACCATAATGAGAGTAATCATCTATGAATGTGATAAAATATGTTTGGCCATTTCTACATGGTGTAGGAAATGGTCCACAAATGTCTGTATATATCAATTCTAATAGATCTGAAGCTCTCTCGGCACCTAATCTCCGTTTGTTCGTTTGTTTTCCCTTAACGCACTCAACACAAATATCAGAATTTGAGGAGTCAAGAGAATCAAGAATTCCATCTGACACGAGTCTCTGAATTCTTTCTTTAGAAATATGTCCTAGACGCTTGTGCCAAAGTGAAAACGAATTCTCATTGGTTAATTTTCTTTTAGTACCATGAGTACTTACATGCAAGGTTTCATTATATGAGGTATTTATATCAAGAGAATATAGATTATCATAAACTGATAAAAGACTAGTACCAATAAGTTTTGAATCTTGAAATAGACTGAACTGACTATTTCCAAATGAACAAGAATAACCAAATTTGTCCAATGCAGAAATAGAAATTAAATTCCGCCTAAATGACGGCACAACAAATGTCTCTTTCAAATCCAAATAAAAACTAGTCTTTAATAATAATCTAAAAACACCGATAGCCTCAACTTCAACCCGCTTGCCATCACCGACATAGATGTATCTTTCACCATCAATTGGTTTTCGGCAGCTCAGGCAACCCTGCATAGATACACTTATGTGAGTAGTAGCACCAGAATCTACCCACCAAGTGTCTTTTGGTACCGAAATTAAATTAACCTCAGAACAAACACGAGCAAGAGACATACCCTTTTTCGCACGCCAAGCGTGGTACTTAGTGCAGTTCTTTTTCTTGTGATTAGTCCCTTTGCAAAAGAAGCATCCAGATTCCTTAGTTTCCTTATGATGCTTCCTGGGAGGCCCTGAATTTGCAGCTTCCTTAATTTTCCTTTTCTTGCTACCCTTAGAGGTAGATGCCAAATGAGCACTTTCTGTCTTATCTTGCTTTATTCTCTCTTCCTCTTGAACACAATGAGAAATGAGCCCATTGAGAGACTTTAAATTGAGAAGGAAGAGAGATCAAAACTAAATACACAAGCAATTCCTCAGGTAAAATAAGCTTTAGTGCACTTAGTTTTGAAGCAATGTGAGACATTTCGAAAATGTACTCTCTTATGTTCCCTTTGCCTTTATACTTCATGGAAACAAGAGTGCTTAAAAGAGTACTAGTTTCCGCCTTTTCGTTTTTAGCAAAACGCTTTTCAAGTTCGGCAAGGAACGATTTGACATCAGCCTCATCAGACATTGTGCCCCTGAATGATTCTGGAATTGCACGTTTCATGATCATTAGACTCATGCGATTTGAGCGTTCCCACCTCTCCATCTCCCTCTTTTCATCAAGGGTAGATGTGTCCTTAAGAGCGGCGGGTTTCTCAGTCCGAAGTGCAAGGTCTAGATCCATGCAACCGAGAACAATCATAACGTTCTCTTTCCATTCCTTAAAATTCGTGCCGTTAAGCACTGGGATGCTATTAATATTAGCAGATATTGTAGCAGCAGAATTGTTGACTGAAAGAGAACAAAAAATAATATAAATGATATGCTCTAGGAACTTAAATTAATTTGATAATTAATTTTAAATTTAAATATTAGCAATCCCCATCACAAGATACCTAACGCAACATCTAATCTTATCTTTGGACATAAATTAGACTTGCAAGTGGTACTCTTGGCGTAATAATAAAATTTTGATAATAAAATCATGTCAAATACTAAGCCTTTCTTTGGACCGACTTAATATTCACACGAAAAACTTCATAATCATCACAAATTTTATTATCACAAATGTACTTAAATTTCGGCCAAATAATAATCTTTCTTTGGGCCGATTATTATCCGCATGAAATAAGAAAGTACACAATCATCTTAATATATGAGTTAATTAATTTCAACAAGAGAGGCTACTTTGGCAGCATGTTGTATCAATTAACTAACTCAAATATTAGACATGCTAATATTAACTCGAAAATCTGAAAAATAAAATTGGGCAAATTTTTCTGAATCACATGCAAATGTATTATGTATAACGATAATTTTTTTTAATTCGTACCCAATCACCGTGTGATCGCAAAATAGGGTTTATACATCCCATAACACATACCGGAGTAACACATACCGGAGAAAATATGAGGGAAAATGGAATGCATAGTGGGAAAGAACCGAACGGTATGTCGTGGATCAGCATTCAATCCCCCCTTTTCTCATATTGAATGTTGATCCATGACATACCGTTCGGTTCTTTCCCACTATGCGTTCCATTTTCCCTCATATTTTCCCCTTTTTACTTGTTTAGCAATAACAAGTCACTTAGGATCAATATGAGAAGGCCACATATGAATTTGGTATTATTTTAGAAATTCACATATTTGGGTTAGTATGAGACAACCACCCATAGTTGGGATTATTAGTGTGATTTTTTCGGAATCAAAATAAGTATGATTGAAGTAACTTTTATGGATGAATTGGTTGGAGTTACCGTAGAGGATGAGTTTAGCTAATTTTTTATTTAATTTTTTCTTAATAAAATATATTATAAATATAATTATTCCATAATTCAGCATATTTAACCAATTCAGACACTTCAGCCAGAATTTCATCAATTTCATCAAACTCATTAACTTCAGCCAAAATGTCATCAATTTCATCAAACTCACTAATTCACATCCAATTTCACTGTTACCAAACGAGTTCTTAGTCTATTTATTGAATTAAATAGTGTGGAAAGAGTTTTAGTTGGGCTATTTTTCAATAGTTCAGTTATTACGTACCACGTCTTAGATATCCTATAGCTTTGGGATAGAGTGGTATTCTATTAAAATTAGGAATCCTGAATCTCTAAATTAGTTATGGGAGTCAGCTTGTACTCCTACCTATACCTTATATAAGGAGAGTACAACAATAACATCAAAGTCTTGGTTCCAAAAGAGTGTGGGGTCTGCTAACATGATTTATGAAATCACAGCTAAAAGAGATACATAGAGATCAATCTTCCACACATATATTGTCCCTCCATTTCGCTCTCCCCACTCTCATTGCTTTTAAAATAGGTGCTACTCTCATTGCTTTTAAAATACCGTATCATTCTACTCTCATTGCTTTTAAAATAGGTGCTACTCTCATTGATCAACCTACTCTCATTGATTTTAAAATACAGTATCATTCTTGACCCACTCTTATCCATGTCTATTTGGGCCATCCCCTCCGTCTTCTCTCTACCTATTCTCCCCACCTCTCAACTAATCTAACAACTGTACTACCTGGTTTTCAACGCACATGGCCAAATCATTGCAATCGAGAGTCTCACATCTTATCTTCAATAGGTGTTACATTCACCTTTTACCTAATTGTCTCATTTCTCAAGCGGACTTTTCTAGTATGTTGATGTGAGTTTTCTCGCACTTTAAAAGATTGTAGAATAGCGGTGAAAGTACGAGTATCGTCTCCACAGGGACGGACAAAAGGGAATCAAGGATTAATTAAATTCAGCGATTAAAAAAAGGAATAAAATAAAATAAATGTGTCGTGCGAGATTGGTTGGTTGAATTAAAATTAAACTAATGCGAATGAACGATTAAAATAAAAGATTGTGTTCTCTCTGATTAACGACGAAGGGAACAGGGATTGATTCCGGGGTAATCAGATTTCTGGCAGATCAGGCCTAATTACATGAAATTAATTTAATTGAGCCTAGCTAATCAATACTAAGTTCTTACCGCTCTCGCGGCGTAGAGTACAATAATTTAGGGGACCAGGCTGATCTCTCTTGCGACAGGATCCTAAATTATTGCCAAGACGAACGAGCTTACGGCCCCTTAATCGCTACTAATCTCTTAGCAAACGATTAAGTGTGTGTGAATGTGTCCTAGAATAAACTAGATCTCTCTTAATTTATTCTATGTGCAATTGTAATTCTAGCCGCGGTTCCAGGTTACAAAAAATATCAGTTAAATTATTCAAACACAAATTAAACGGCATTCATGCAATTAAAATGAAAAGAATCTAGCCATCAATCATGATTAACCCCTTCATCAATCCCAAATCCCTAATTAAACTACTCACAATTCATAATTGAAGAATCGACAGAATTGGGAAGAATAGAATAAATTGTCATTAATTAAAAAGATGAACTTACAAATAATCCCAGGATCTTGGAAGAAAATAGCGTAAAAACGGTGTTAAATTCGTCCCTAGGCCTCTCCGTAATGTTCGTGACCACTAAAAAGGGTTAGGGAGGCCTTATTTATAGAAAAGAGGGGGAAAATCACAATTCTGGTCGATGTGGGAGATTTCCGCGCGTAACTCGGGGCTACGCACGATCGTGCGTCCATGGCTACACACGATCGTGCGTAGCAGGCAGTAGCTCCTCCACGGTTTTGGCTCTTACGCACGATCGTGCGTCCGTGTTCTTCAGACTTTTCTCTAGTCCGAATTTGACAAAACTTCCTTCATGAAAGTTTTAGATAATTAAGTCATCTATCCACCCCAACTTGCCGAATGTGATTTGAATCATCTAATCAAGAGGTATGATCAAAACGGTGGAAGGTGTCATTCTGAAATCGTAGCAGAGATCATCTGACTTCGTCATCTGTTTTCACCTTCTTTCTCTCCTATTCTCATAACGGTGTCTTCATATGATTTATAGACCTTGAAGTTGTCTTTCATATACAACTTGAATCATGTCCATTAGTTGTTTCTACAAAGAGATATTCTTGAATGATTGACAGAAGGTCATCCTGATCGTCGTTTTCAAGCTTCATTCATCTTCTTTTGATCCCGAAGCCAATCCTTGAGCTCTTTTGTCATCAAATCTTCATCGTAAACCTCCCGCTGACCTCCATAGCTCTCAAATCAATATCAAATGCTTTTCAACTCATCCCGATTTCTCCTCAAGCGCCAGTGCCGAACTCTAAAATCCTGATTTTGACTCCAAATGACACAAAACTCGAACCAACGCCCGGTAAACATAACTTGAGCTAAAATTGAGACTTGCAACACCTTAAAGCTAGGAAAACTATCAAAATGCAACCCCAACACGCATCAAATGCGTGTTGTAATATGTAATTATCAGATTCCCCCACACTTAAGCTTTTTCTTGTCCTCAAGCAAACAGAACAACGGGACTTACGATAATCACCACACAGATTCAAAATAGTTAGCAGGCACACGTAGCTAAAGGAATATTCACAGAACAGACAATCTAAACCTAGAAAATTCTTCCCTAAACTACATCTTTGTACTCAATCTAACTATTTGACAAAATTATTCACAACATCCTTAAAGTAATGACAGCATACACAAATAAACTAGCTATTGATCAGAAGGACTTGTGAAGGTGATGGTGGATGGTGGATGGTAATAAATAGTCCCTTTCTTTTGAGAGATTTGGAAATTCAAACAAAGACTCAATGCATTCAGGAACTTCAGGGCTATTCTTAGGATCAAGGAACTCAGTAGGCCACAATTTAGGAACAATCAACTAAACCTATGCAAAGAGTAGACATGGTGTACAACTAAGCTAAACCGCCGCGGCACGTTGGTGCTTTGACGTATACTTGAAGTACGCGGAGAACTAAAGCTAATTTTCAATAGCCTCCAAGTTTATTAATTATGTTTAGTTTTCCTTGTCATGTTGGCACGAGAACGCCATTTCTTCCGAAAGATACCCAAGTCTCATCTTATTGTGCAAAACACTTACGCTTTTTGACCCGGGCTCCCATTCTCTTTTTCGCAAGGTAAGAGGTCTAGCTATATTAATTTTTCACCTTTCGGATTCTTACTTAGACATTACCCCATTCTAATCTCGGCCTCACCAAGGAAAAATAGCAGTTAAAGTTCATTTGTTTTAGAAGTGAATCCATGCCTACAATGCAATCCTCGAAAATATCAAGATCCTAAAAAGTGACTGCTCTTACCCCATTTGGGGCATAGGAACAGTGCCAAAATTGGCTCCTACACAAAATTCCATAAACTTAGAAAATTCACTCCCTAGTTCCCTAAACATGAAGACTACGTCAGAAATATTCACGGGTAAGAAAACAGGCCATTTGGCTATGGAGCTCAATTAATTGGGTAGACAAGGAATAGTCAGGCTCAAAATGGCTTCTCCTAAAGGACTTTTTCAGGTGGGATGGAAAATTTATGAATTCATTCAATGGGTGACTAATGCCTTCATCCTTTCAACAACTAGATTATAGTGCAAGCAATTTAAGCCTAAACACTTCAAGGACATTTTAAAAGCATAGTCAAAACGCTAAGCAGCTCACAAAGACACAGTTTAAAGAAACAAATTCAAAAATTTTGACATGACTTTTCTATGAATATACAACTAACACCTGCGCATGCTAACTCTAAAAAATCCCATGTAACAACTACTGCCCGAATGCCTAATTCACTCCCCCACACTTAAACTTTGGCATCGCCCTCGATGACCAAAAATGCACTATGCACAAAGGGGTAAAGAGGAAAGGGTCACGCGTGCTCAACTTCAACTCAAGTCAACAATTAACACATGCGAGTAAGAGTAATAGGAACTTCCCTAAGGCGTTGGTTGGTGCAGAATTAAACTGAGTCAATGTAAACTGTGGCGCATCATCCAGAAAAGACCTGAGCTACAAAACAAACACAGAAACACAAAAAAACACACAAAACAAAAACAAAAAACATGCAGAAAACAAAAGTGCAGAAATAAGCTTGGGTTGCCTCCCAAGAAGCGCTATTTTTAACGTCGTTTGCCCGACGATACCTCGTAAGCTTTCAAATAGCACAGACTGTAGTGGGGCACTAATTTTCAAAGTATCCAGCTTTCTCTCAACAAATGCCCTTAGGTGGCGCAAATTCTTAAACTCTTGAAACCATGTAGGAATCACATGGTCTTCAAAAAACTTATCAGCACAGAACTGGAGGATCAACCTCACATCCTCCTTGAGTGGACATAAAACATGAGTCAAAAATTTGATTACTCCAGGCTCAAAAGATGTTTCGATGCAAGGATCTGTAGCAACATCAAACTCGAAGTGCAACATAGAAAAGTATTTTTCTTCCTCACAATTATACTGAAAATTCACAGCATCTCCTCCGGACTCCATATCACTCCCCATGTGAGCATCCCAACTCTCGGTAACACCGTTCTTATCAATGTCGTCTTGGAAAGTGTTGTTACTCTCGCCCCCACTCTCTTGGAACGTGTGATCATCATTTTCAAACTCATCTTCAATACCCAAACCTAGCTCAGTAGCACCATCATCATGACTGATCTTCTCCTTGCCCTCCTCAGGTGTTGAGATTAATGGTAAATCAAACGACTGGTGAGTTTCTGTATGGAAATCATAGTGATTTGTGACTTCATCTGTTACATCTTGTGTCGTTACAAACTTTTTCATGTATTCTTCGAAAAACAACTTGACACTATTATCTTCTTCACTATCTTCAAACATAGGTGAGTCTTCAACATCATCAAGAAGTGTATCATCCATCGTATTCCCACCATCATTGTCTGACTCACTTATATGATCATCCACATTGATCTCCTCGGATTGGGCTTCTGTGTCGCTAGGATGGGATCTCTCGGACTCCTCAGATAGGGCATTAAACAGCTGATCCAAGTGATTTTCCATGTTTTGCATCCTTGTGTCCGCTTGCTGTTGACTTTGCATTTGTTGTTGAAATTGCATTAATTTCTTGAGTGTTTCTTCCAGGTCAGACAGCTTCTCTGAAATTATCTCTTTTGATTCATCTTGTGGCTCATAGCTCGGCAAAGACGTAGGAGTGACTGAAACATTTGTGTTCGTAAATTGTGGGGAGGAAGAAGTTGGGTATGCAGTTGCCCAGTAAGGATGATCATTTGGAGGTTTGACGGGGCAAAAGGTTATATGGTGACATCCTCCACAAAAGGAACAAATGCTATTCTTCGGTAGAATATGATACACTTCCTCAAGAGTTTTAGTTTGGAGAAGAAATTCAAGAATGGAGCCTTGTTTTGTCCAAGGGAATTGTGGTGATGATAGATAATGATGAGAATTTTGAGATTGGAAGGGTTGTGTGGTTGGAGAGTAAGAATAGGAAGATGGAATATTTTGTGGTGCCAGAGAGTAATATTGTAGAGGAATGTAAGTTGGGCATGGCGTATATGAGGAATATCCCGTGGAGATTTGAGGGAATGGTGTTCCTCCAGGAGTTGAGCTTAATGGGTTCATCTCATGCCTCTTAGAAAGAAAACCTGAAAGGTTAGCACAGAAAAATCCTACGAGAAACTAAAAAAAATCTAACTAAAGAAAATCTCGCTGAAATTAATTAACCCTTAAAACCGACACCGTCCCCGGCAACGGCGCCAAATATTGATGTGAGTTTTCTCGCACTTTAAAAGATTGTAGAATAGCGGTGAAAGTACGAGTATCGTCTCCACAGGGACGGACAAAAGGGAATCAAGGATTAATTAAATTGAGCGATTAAAAAAAGGAATAAAATAAAATAAATGCGTCGTGCGAGATTGGTTGGTTGAATTAAAATTAAACTAATGCGAATGAACGATTAAAATAAAAGATTGAGTTCTCTCTAATTAACGACGAAGGGAACAGGGATTGATTCCGGGGTAATCAGATTTCTGGCAGATCAGGCCTAATTACATGAAATTAATTTAATTGAGCCTAGCTAATCAATACTAAGTTCTTACCGCTCTCGCGGCGTAGAGTACAATAATTTAGGGGACCAGGCTGATCTCTCTTGCGACAGGATCCTAAATTATTGCCAAGACGAACGAGCTTACGGCCCCTTAATCGCTACTAATCTCTTAGCAAACGATTAAGTGTGTGTGAATGTGTCCTAGAATAAACTAGATCTCTCTTAATTTATTCTATGTGCAATTGTAATTCTAGCCGCGGTTCCAGGTTACAAAAAATATCAGTTAAATTATTCAAACACAAATTAAACGGCATTCATGCAATTAAAATGAAAAGAATCTAGCCATCAATCATGATTAACCCCTTCATCAATCCCAAATCCCTAATTAAACTACTCACAATTCATAATTGAAGAATCGACAGAATTGGGAAGAATAGAATAAATTTTCATTAATTAAAAAGATGAACTTACAAATAATCCCAGGATCTTGGAAGAAAATAGCGTAAAAACGGTGTTAAATTCGTCCCTAGGCCTCTCCGTAATGTTCGTGACCACTAAAAAGGGTTAGGGAGGCCTTATTTATAGAAAAGAGGGGGAAAATCACAATTCTGGTCGATGTGGGAGATTTCCGCGCGTAACTCGGGGCTACGCACGATCGTGCGTCCATGGCTACACACGATCGTGCGTAGCAGGCAGTAGCTCCTCCACGGTTTTGGCTCTTACGCACGATCGTGCGTCCCAGACGCACGGTCGTGCGTCCGTGTTCTTCAGCCTTTTCTCTAGTCCGAATTTGACAAAACTTCCTTCATGAAAGTTTTAGATAATGAAGTCCTCTATCCACCCCAACTTGCCGAATGTGATTTGAATCATCTAATCAAGAGATATGATCAAAACGGTGGAAGGTGTCATTCTGAAATCGTAGCAGAGATCATCTGACTTCGTCATCTGTTTTCACCTTCTTTCTCTCCTATTCTCATAACGGTGTCTTCATATGATTTATAGCCCTTGAAGTTGTCTTTCATATACAACTTGAATCATGTCCATTAGTTGTTTTTACAAAGAGATATTCTTGAATGACTGACAGAAAGTCATCCTGATCGTCGTTTTCAAGCTTCATTCATCTTCTTTTGATCCCGAAGTCAATCCTAGAGCTCTTTTGTCATCAAATCTTCATCGTAAACCTCCCGCTGACCTCCATAGCTCTCAAATCAATATCAAATGCTTTTCAACTCATCCCGATTTCTCCTCAAGCGCCAGTGCCGAACTCTAAAATCCTGATTTTGACTCCAAATGACACAAAACTCGAACCAACGCCCGGTAAACATAACTTGAGCTAAAATTGAGACTTGCAACACCTTAAAGCTAGGAAAACTATCAAAATGCAACCCCAACACGCATCAAATGCGTGTTGTAATATGTACTTATCATATGTTCACACATCCATCACAACATGCTCATCCAAGTCATACTCAACTTTTGAATGTGACATTATTTTCTTATAAAACTTGCATTTTGGTCTAGTCAGTATTTCTCGATCAAATAGAAAACGCACCCTTCCATTTCATCAACCCTATTATGATTTCATGGGATACATCTCCATCTACTTCACCGTCCTTCTGAATTTTGTAGCCCAGGTAACACAACATATCAATACTCAGTATCTCCTTACCATTTAAGGTAATCCCATTATTACTATTGCCTCTACCTCTACTAAACGTGCATGTCATATACTTAGTTTTGCTTTAACTTAGCCTGAAACCCTTGTTCTCTTGAGTTTGTTGTCATACTTCCAAGTTTACTTTAATACCGGATCTTGTCTCATCAATCAATACAATATCATCGACAAACATCATACTCCATGATATGTCTTATTGAATTGAATTCGTGAGTTCATCCATGAGTATTGCAAGTGTTAAATGACCCAGAGCCGATCCTTAGTGCACTCTGATAGTAATAGGAAACTTTGTAGTCCTCTCTACACTAGTACGGACATTTGCAGTACGATCCTCGTACATATCCATGATGATGTTGTTATAGTAACGTGATATGCATTTTCTAGATAAGGCATACCAAAGGACTTCTCGAGCATTCAAGCTACCCTACAATACGCCTTTTCGAAGTCAATGAACACCAATGTTTTTATACTTCTCCGCAAGTTGCAAAGTCAATGGCCTCAGCCCTCAGTTGTTGAGCGCTTAGACGTAAGACATATAAGGAGGGTCTTGGAATAATATAAGCCGTAATTTCAGAAAGCAGAAATTTGGGAGTTTTGGGCCTTGACAAAATCCCAGATTCTCTATCCTGTCTTCCCCCGTGACCTTCTATTAAATAACACATAACAGTGGTCTTGTGGGAGACACTAAAATGGGCGCTGTGATTTTCTTTGAAGTGCTTTTTCACACTTGAAAAGGATTTTAGAACTACTCTAGCTCTATTCTAATAACATTTTATGAGAAAAAAATAAGGATTTGCTCTTTTGCAAACTAATCATATTGCCATCATTCTCAGAGTGTAACATTGGGGGATGAAGAGGCAAGCCGTAGGGGTGTACAAAAGTCTGTACTGGAGAGGAAAGGGTCATTGGTTTTCAGCTGTGGAGTCGAGATAATTTCCAAGACAGAGTTGCGAGTTCACCATAACTTAGAAGCTACAGTAGACGCTATTCTTTCAGGTTCAGTCAGTGTAACCCCCTCTATTCCTACTGGGGCCGTGTTTGGTTGGGGGATTCCAGCGGGAAAGAAGGATGGAGAGAGGTGGTGTGTATTATTAGTTTATTCTTTGTATTTAGATGATTGATAAGAATGCATAGGTGAAATTAACGATAAAGAATTAGTGAATTACATGATTTTACTAAACAAATATTCTTTTCGTCCCAAACTAAACTTCATCCTTTTCTTTTTGGTCCTTTCCATAACAATATTATGATACACGTCGTTTTGGTGTGTGTACCAGAGGCGCATAAAAGGGGCCTAGTTAATTAATTGTCCACAAGCTTTCCTAATTATTTCCCTTTAGTTATTCTAGTTGTTTCCTTTAATTATGCTTTCCTTATCATAGTTTTTTCCATTTATTTAGCCTTCCTTATTTTGGGCACTCTCTTATTAATGAGTCTGTAATAGTTTGGATCTGTTTCCTAATATTATTTAGGAAACTTATTTCTGCCTATATAAGGCTTATCAGTTTGAATAAAATATTAAGTTTGGATTAATTAATCTCTTGATTTACCGGTGGAGCCAGGGATCACCTTCATTGCCCAGGGTAGGAAGTTATTTTTTATTCCAACATCATAGCTTCAGATCCCGTCTTTCATTATCAACGGCCTTGGACGAGATCCTGTACCAAGGCCCTTAACAATTTGGTATCAGCATCCAGGACGATGGGCAACAAAACTCTTAATGCTGAAACCTTCAAAAGTTTCATGGCAGACATCAACTTGAGATAAGGGACTCTCGAGGCAAAGATTACCGATATGATGAATTCGTTTTCTCCGCAACTCACAACGTTGAGCAGCAGATCCACAAGCTCAAACGATGACACCAGCTGCCAGAGCAGTTCGAGCTCGCTCCATGACAACTAGAATCACGACCGTGGTGATTCCAGTATGGTCCCTCGCTATTCCAAACTTGAATTTCCATCCTTTGATGGTACAGGTGACCCTCTGAATTGGTTGAAATGCTGTAGCGGTTCTTTGCGCACCAGCAAATAGCTCCAATGGCACGTGTGGGCTTGGCTACCTTCCTCATGGTGGGCGATGCTCAACTTTGGGCTGACAAAATCCAATCAGGCATCTCATGGAAAACATTTTCAGAGAATTGTCTTCTCCATTTTGGCCCTCCATTAAGCTCTAATCCTTCGGGAGATCTTTTTCAACTCAAACAAACCAGCATCGTTGACGAATACATTAGTTCGTTGCAACGACTTATGGCACGAGTTGAAGGCCTACCCAGGCAATTTGAGGTCAACGCATTCATGGCAGGACTTTGTATTGACGTCCGTTTAGAACTTGAATTTCAAGCCCCTGGTAGCTTGGACGTTGCAATGAATGTGGCTCGACAAATTGAATGGAAGCAACAAACTGTGACACATCTTTCAGTCGCGTTCCACCGACCCCAACCACGACAGAACCCACCTCATATAGTGTCTCAGTGCGGTTCCGTAACTTCTGAATCACGGCAGACTGTTGTCCGCACCCAACAGGCTCCTCCTTGGCCTCGACGGATTTCTAGAGCCGAGGCAGCCAGCCGTCAAGCTAAAGGCCTTTGCTATCATTGTGATGAACAATATGTTCGTGGAAACCGTTGCAAGCAACTCTTTGCATCGGAGATATTAGATGACGAGGAGGACATGACTATTCCCGTAGTAGCTAAACACGACATGGCCTTATCATTGCATGTTATGAGCAGCTCAGGGTCTGCAACCACCGTGCAGATTGCAGCAACTATTCAAGGAACCCCAATCACGATCTTTGTAAACTCTGGCAGAACCCATAACTTTATTCATGAGCGTGTTGTCAAGCAATTTGAGTTTCCTACGCTTCAACCGTCTCACTTATTTGTTCTCGTGGCCAATGGCGAATGAGTTCCGATTGTGGGCAGAATCCTTGATCTGGAATTGACAGTCCTCAACATCAACTTCCGGGCTGACTGTTATGTCTTATCCTCAGCCGGCTTTGATATGATTTTAGGGGTAGAATGGCATGTTTGGGATCTATTATATGGGACTTCGCCCAGCTCACAATGAATTTTTCCTGGTCCAACAAACGCGTTGAATGGCGTGGCCAAAACCCTAGATCTGAGCGGACCAACATGGCCTTATCACCGGGCACAGATCGTGCTATACTGGAAGCAATTTTGGGCAACTTTACTGACCTCTTCCGCGAGCCCGTGGTTCTGCCCCCTTCTAGATCATGCGACCATCGTATTACATTGATTTCAGATGTTGAACCTGTGGTAGTGCGGCCATACTGATATCCTTACTTTCAGAAGGATGACATCGAACGACAGTGCACCTCAATGCTGGAACAAGGAATTATTCAACGGGGTCGGTCCCCTTTCTCCTCTCCAGTTCTTTGGATAAAAAAGCACGATAATACATGGCGCTTCTGTGTGGATTGTCGTGAACTCAATGCTCGAACTATCAAAGATAAATATCCAATTCCAGTGATAGATGAGATGAGTTACTGGACGAACTGCATGGGGCCCTCTTCTTCACTAAATTAGACCTTCGTTCTGGGTATTACCAGATACACATGGCTCTTGAGGATGTGCCTAAAATAGCATTCCGTACACAACACGGCCACTTCGAATTTCTGGTAATGCCCTTTGGTCTAACTAATGCGCTTCCACCTTCCAAAGCTTGATGAATGATATTTTTGGACCATATCTTCGCAAGTTTGTGCTTGTCTTTTTTAATGATATTCTCATCTATTGCAAGACTCAGGTAGAACATGTACATCACGTACGGTTGGTCTTCGAACTCTTACGCGCCCATGGTTTATTCTTGAAACATTCCAAATGCAGTTTTGGGGAAGTAAGAGTAGATTATCTGGGACATGTTATCCATAATGGCGGTGTTGAAGTCGATCAAACCAAGGTCACGACTGTACGTATTTGGCCTGTACCAGGAACCCTAACTGCTCTACGCGGTTTTCTTGGACTCGCAGGTTATTATCGCAAGTTCATCTAGAACTATGGCACCATTACAACCCCTCTCACACAACTCTTGAAGAAGAACTCTGTTGGGTTAATGGCCCAACCAGGGCTGACCCATCAACTCCGGGGGACGCACGTAACCCAGCATGACCAAGCTCAAGGGTTCAAGGGCCAGGGGACGTGCATAGCCCAGCATGACCAAGCTTCAGGATCCAAGAGCCAGGGGACGTACGTAGCCCAGTAGGACCAAGCTTCAGTGTTCAACGGCCGGGGGACGTGCGTAGCCCAGTAGGACCAAGCTTCAGGGTCCAAAGGCCAGGGGACGTACGTAGTCCAGCAGAACCAAGCTTCCGGACTCAAGGGCCACGGGACGTGCGTAGCCCAGCAGGACCAAGCTTCAGGACTCATGGGCCAGGGGGCGAGCGTCTTGTGGGTCACCTCCAAAGGGCCCAGGATGCCGCCAGAGGGCTAAGTCTGCCTTGGGGACGAACGTCCCCACTTCATGGTGGGAAGCCAAGATCTTGGCAAGAAGCGCATTAAATGCAGGAGATTTGGTGGTTGGGATCATGTCGCCCATAGCCAGCCACGTCAGCCTCTCCAACCACATGGGATACTATAAATAGTCGCATTTATTTCAATGGAAAGGGTTCGCACCTTGACTCTCTAGTATTGTAATAGCATCAACAGCACGTAGCATAGCTTAGTACGTTCGGCCCCTCGGCTTGTAATCACTAGAGTGAATGAAATACAGTTATTAGCCCATTCCCCGTTGTCTAGTGATCTTGTTTTTCTTTCCACCCATTCGAACCCCTCGGGTTACGTGAGGGGAATAAACCTCAACACTGGCGCCGTCTGTGGGAATCAGACCAAAAAGTTCTTCTAATCAAGCTCTCCATTAAAAAAACTCTAAGACAACCGCAAGGCAAGTAAAATGAACACTAACAACGCGGGTAACTCTCAAGACCTCTCCTCACGACTGGCTCACAGCAGGAGGAGCCGCAACCAGGCAACAGGGGCCCAATCCACCAGTCTGTGGAGTCGGGGAGATTTCGGGATACTCACTGGCCTGATTCCCCAGGAACTCCGTAGGGACCCCAACGCACTACGGGATATCGCGGATATCATCCTCCGACTAGCGGACCAGCGGGAGGAAGAGCATGTGCATACTGCCAACACCGAGCGGACCCCGCTCTCACCCATCCGCCCCATGCAGTCTTTCGCCGAGCATACCGGTGAAAATAGCCATCCCCGCCGTTCGGTCCATTCCAGGATAACTCAGAACACCCGCTCTCTGGGTATAGGGGGCGCCGCGGGGGCCAGGCCTTTCAGGGGAACGCAGCGCCACATGGTCCAGGACCCCACGCCGGTCATGCCCCGCGATCGACGGGTGGCTTGGGAACATACTCCCGTGGTGGATGGCATGATGGCGGAGGCCCGGGTATACCATGGTCAGCATAATCATGGCATCACGCCAAGGGGGAATACCTTAGCATTGGTAACTTCCGCGCCCGCTGGGGCCGATCCGCGAGATGCCATGCTCATGGACATGCAGAGAAGATAAACGAGCTGAATCGATGTACGGAGAATACACAGGCACAACACAGGATTACACTCTCACCCCCTTCCACTGACAGGGTCATGGCAGTAGACATTGCACGGGACGTTCGGCCTCCTGGAACACTGACTTATGATGGGGCCGGGGACCCCAAGGCCCATTTACTATCTAATCAAGGAACGCTCTCTATGTTGGGAGCCTCCGATGAGGCTGTTTGCAGACTTTTCTTCAGCACCCTCAAGGGACCAGCGCAAGAATGGTTCGCGCAGCTCAGGCCCGGGTCCATTGACAACTTTGAACAGTTATCCCGGCAGATCATGGCTCAGTTCGCATCAAGCACCACACCCAAGAAACACTTCAGTTGGTTGACGAACCTCCGCCAGAACAAGGGAGAAACCTTATCTGCTTTCCTGGTCAGATGGAAGGACGAGACCCTGAAGGTGGAGGACCTTCCGGAGAGCACCGACATCACTTTCTTTACCAATGCGTTGGCAACCGGGGACCTCTATCTGGACTTGAAAAGGAACCCCGGGAGCAACTACGCCGAGGTGCTGGCCCGTGCGCACAAGTTCGCTGATATCGAGGAAGAAGTTTCACAGCGGGATGGGGCAGCGGCCCCCGCAGCACGCAAGACATCAGACCGATTGGGTCCCAGGCCGGTAGAGTCACCGGCACTCAAGAAGAAGACGATTGGCGGTTACGCCCCTTGGGCCGCACAGGAACGCCCGGGGGACGACCCCCGTGTAGGCATGGGGCCTGCTCCCTTGGCCTACCCAACCAGTCATTTTTTTGGGGCTATCAAGGACAAGGGGCTGCTCAAGGAGCCGGTACCCACCAAGGGGCTCATGATGGGCCGAGACACGGGAGCCTACTTTGAATATCACCGCAAGCAGGGACACCGTACGGACGATTGCCAAAGTGTGAAGTACGCCATCCAGCAACTTATCGAGAGGGGGTATCTGGGTGAGTTCACCACAGGAGGAGCATATCAGGGCCCCCATAGCAGCATAAGAGGCCCTATAGCTTGCGCCGGGATGATCGGTTAGAGGCTGGGGTCAAGGAGGAGGATTTCCGTCATAACAGCAAGCGGCCAGAGGCGTCCCTCAGGCCGGTCGGCACCAAAAAGAAAATGGAAATCAAGATGACTTTTGGAGGGGCGGAGACTAGGGATACCCCGACGGAAAGAAATAAGTTCGAGAGGGCCCTCCGGATAAATTCCATCTCAGCACATCCCACCAAAAAACATAAGGCCGAACCCATCACTTTTCGGGACAGCGGATCTACCGCAATCACCAGGACCGCACAGGGATGAGTTGGTAATCAGTATGGATATCCGGGAGTAGATAATCCGGAGAGTCCTGGTGGATACGAGAAGCAGTGTCAATGTCCTATACTGGGATGTGTTCGAGAAGATGCATCTGAGCAGGGCCGATTTGAGCCCCCTACGGACACCCCTGGCTGGTTTCCCCGGCCACAGCATTGATGCAGAAGTGTTGCGGCTCAAATGCGCCCACAACGCCATTCTAGGATGCCCCGGATTGGAGGACCTCGAGGCCATCTGCTCTGTACGGCACTCCTGTATAAAATTCCCCACGGAAACTGGGGTGGGCGTGGCCCGTACGGATCCAGACACAGCAAGAGCATGTTACAAAGAAGCGGTAAAGAGGATGACCGAGAAGGATATGAGGGTCAATAACATTGCAGAGACAGCCCGGCAGGAGGAGGCCATGTTCCGACCAGAGCCGGCTACTTTGCTGGAGGAAGTGGAACTGGACGATCCCTCCGATCGGAAGGTGTCCATTGGGACGGGCCTGGAGCCAGAAATCCGGGAAGGGGTGATCTTGATCCTCCAAAGGTTCAAGATCTTGTTTGCCAGAGGACCAGAGGATATGCCAGGAATTGATCCAAACATCATCTGTCACAGATTGGCCGTTTGGCCAGATGCCAAACCCGTACAGCAGAAGAAAAGGTACATGGCGGTCGAACGGAGGGACTTCATCAGAGTGGAAGTCACTACCCTGCTCGACATACGCCACATACGGCCCGTCATGCATGTGGAGTGGTTGTCCGACGTCGTCTTGGCACCGAAGGCAACTACATGGCGGATGTGCGTCGATTACTCTGATCTCAACAAAGCTTGCCCAATGGACCCCTACCCTGTTCCAAGGATTGATCTGTTGGTGGATGAGACCGCGGGATGCGAGCTGCTCAGTTTCATGGATGCCTTCAGAGTGGTATCATCAAGTATTCATGCATCCGTACGATGCTGAGAAAACTGCCTTCGTCACGTCAGACGAGGTGTATTGCTATGTGGTCATGTCGTTCGGCTTGAGGAATGCAATGGCCACCTTCCAGAGGATGATCGAGATATTGTTCAAAGACATCCTCGAGAAGATCATGGAGGCGTACGTGGACGATATCCTGATCAAGAGCAAGAAGAAGGAGAACCACGTACAGGATATGGAACGGGTTTTCACCATCATGGAGGGAGCAAACATGAGGCTTAACCCGAAGAAGTGTGCCTTTGATGTCAAAGGATGGAAATTTCTTGGTTACATGATGAGCGAACGGGGAATCGAGCTTAACCCAGAAAAAGTGAAAGCCATCATGGACATGGAGGCCCCCAAAAATTTGAAAGATGTGCACAGACTTACTGGGCGCTTGGCGGCACTGAGCCGGTTTATGTTAAAATTGGCTGATCGGGCGATCCCCTTCTTCCAGATCATGAAGAAGGCCAACCCATTTGAATGGACCCTGGAGTGTCAGAAAGCCTTTGAATACTTCAAGGCGTACCTCTCCTCGCCACTTTTCCTGACTAAAGCGGATCCCGAGGAACCGTTATACATGTATCTAGCAGTAGCTGATCTGGCGGTAAGCTCTGTCTTGCTGAAGGAAGTGGAGGGTGTTCAGCGGCCTATATACTTCGTTAGCAAGGCATTGAACGGCCCGGAGACAAGGTACACACTGATGGAGAAGACGATCTTGGCGCTGATCGCGACAATAAAGCGCTTGGCGCCGTACTTCCAGGCACACCCGGTGACGGTGTTCACCACTCAACCATTGGCCACTATCCTCAGGAACCCAATGGCGAGTGGGAGGATTAAGAAATGGTCCTTGATGATCGGGCAATACAATGTGGAATTCAAGCCAAGGCCGACGATCAAGGGGCAGGCGCTGGCCGATTTCATTGCTGAGTGCACAGCACGTACGGAGACTGGGGAACACGGCGGCAACGACCTGGACAACTGGTGGGAAATGTACACCGATGGGGCAGCAAGTGCAAAGCGATGCGGGGGGTGCGGTCATCACTTCCCCCGAGGGATTCAAGGCTTATTACTCCATGGAATTCAAGTTCAAAGTCACCAACAACGAGGCCGAGTACGAGGCGCTAATCGCAGGATTGAGATATGCAAGGGCCCTCGGAGCAACTCGTCTGAAGGTACGGATGGAACGGCAGATGAATGGTACTGCTGAGACTCGAGAGGAACGGATGAAAGCTTACAGGGAACTGACAGAGGAGCAGACTGCGCAGTTTGAGCAAGTGATCATAGACCTGGTACCTCGGGTAGAGAATGTCGAAGCTGATATCCTATCCAAGCTAGGCAACCCCCTATCCGAGGATCAGACGCCGGCCGTCCCAAAACATATCCGGAATTTCGCTAGACAGGAGGCACTACCCCGACCGGCGACGGAGACGATCTAGGTAAACACTATTTCTTATGCAGATCCCAACTGGGTGAAGGAGGTGGCAGATTATCTCAGGGATGGAACCCTCCCTCTCGAGAAAGATGGACGCACCTCCGGAAGGGCCCCGTGGATAAAAAGACGGGCGGCGAGCTTTGAGATCATCGGGGGTGAACTGTACAAGAAGACGTTCGGCGGACCATATCTCAGATGCTTACCGCCGGACTTGGCGGCATCAGTCATGGAGGAAATCCATGAGGGCATCTGTTCTAGTCACCAGGGACCCCGAACGCTGGCAAGAAAGATCATCCTACAGGGGTACTATTGGCAACCATCCAGCGGGACTGCTTCAACCACACCCAGAGGTGTGCGGTATGCCAGCAGTACGCACCTATGTCAGGGAGGCCGGCCAGCTTCTACACCCCGATGACCGTCGCCCTACAATTCGCGAGATGGGGGATAGACCTGCTGGGGCCCCTTCCCAGGATGACTGGCGGCAAGAAGTTCATAATAGTAGCCATT